GGCAAGCCGCAAACCGAATGTTCCCGGCCTGTCTTGCGGCCTGCCTGCGTCTCCAGCGGGAACGATACCAGGAATAAGCTCCAAAGCAGGTCTCCATTCCGACCATCCCAGCGGGACACTTCCCAAGACTCCCTCGGTCCCTCTAAGGTATCCTTGAAGTGAAGAATCTGGGTGTGACTGTGGGCTCCGACCCTTACTGCGTAGAAGTTAGCGGGCAGACGGACAGGGTCAAGGTCTCTAGGAAACATGCCACCGGAAGCTAAAACCGCGAGACCTGTCGTGCCACCCTGGCTCCCTTTCGAGCAATGCTGCGAGACGTATTCGCTGTCGGGTGTCTTTGAAATCTTCAGTGTTGGAGTCGCAAAAATGGTGACAGCGAGAAATTTGCAAATGCGACACGGCGCCTTATTCGTGGGACATTGTTGCTCCCCTAAATCTTCCTTCGACCAGGCCAGAATCAAAAAAAGCCTACTCACTACGTAAGTACGAAGTAGAGGTCACAGGCAATTCGTACCGTATCGGGCAGGGAACATCCCACGGCGGGCCCCCGTTCCTGCTTTCCCCGTTTCTTGCCCAAGACATCCGTACCTTCCATACCTTACGGACACCTTATTATTACTGAGAGTCTGAAGAAGGAGGACTGAGAAGGCCGAGAGACCGCTGGCTCCTTCCCGGTGTTTCTTTGCCCTCGCTCGGCCGGGTGACTTGTCTGCATTGCAAAGCCAAGCCCTGCGAGACTTCCTCCCATCTTTCCCCCCCCCACACATGCAGTGCCTTCGTGTCTCGTTGTCGCCAAAAATGGGGGAGGGAATAAGAAAAAGAGCAAGATAACATGGTACATGACAGAGTAAAGGTTTGTGAGGGTTTGTGTACTTGTTGCCATGTCACTACTTGACCGTTCCAAGCCCTCCTTCACGCCAACTCGCTCGAGGACGAGGCACAGAATGACTTGTCGATGACTTGTAACTCATCGTCGCCTTCGTTCACGCATCCACATTCCCCAAGAGGCAGACCGTCCGTCCATTTGGGCGACTCACGCCTCTGGCGGCGACCTACCCTCTCGCCAGCCATACGGAAAACCCTGTCGCTCTTCTCCCCTCTCCAACCCATCCATCCCGTCTTGTCCAATCTTTTGGGGTTTCTGAGGGAGAAGACCACACAGCAGCTGGCAGTGGGCACCGTAAGGCATCTCGGGTCAAGCAGGGGGGATGGCAAGTACTTCTGAGTTGTACCCAAGGGAAGGTAGCAGTGCAGGGCCTGTAGTTCCAATTCCAGTCGTGTGGTGTCGTACCGTCTGGGGTCCCTCTGCCGCAGTACTTCACTACGTACCTCAGGAACCCAAGTACCTTGCCCTGAACTGGACGACTTTCCCCGTCTCTGCCGTCGCTGCCTCTGCCATCTCCGATCCCCGTCCTACGTCTTCCCTGCCCGTCCGCGCCAGAGCTGCCCACCCTCCGTTAAGAAGCAAACCACCTCCCACCCGTCGCGCCCCGACCCCCAGCATCACGTATTACTCTTTCCGTCTCTGCACTTTTTTTAATTGCTCTCATCGGACTGCTCTCCTGCCTGATGGCTATATTCTTGCACTTGTAACATATCCACCATCTCTCGACCATACTCACTTTTTAATCACTCTCACATCTCAACTCCTTTCTGCTCCCAACCGCCTCGGAATCATACACCCCCTGCTTTATCCAACCGGCCCCATCGCCTCAGGTCCTCATCGGAAACCAACACCCTGGCTTCACGTCAAACACACGTTATTGCCCAATCCTTCACCAACCTGCACAATACTTCACGCCCTCTTCCCCCAATCTCTAGAGCCCAATCTTCCAACTCACTTTCTCAGAGGCCTTGGTCCATTTGGATTATATGAAGCCTTGCTCCCTCCCCTAGCAATCCTGGCATACAGACACAGCTCTACTACATTGTATAACTCCAACAACACTCCTCTCTCAACCTCGAGTCTCCCCTCCGGCTCATCCATCACAACACACAATCATACATCACCATGTCACATTCATATCGGAAAAACAGCTCCAAGAGCTCGACAAGTAGTCGAGACTTTCGCAGGAGTAGCGAATCTTGCGACTCGTACGAGACGTATGAATCACAGAGCACAACACCTACTTCTTACTATGCGAGCACCGAAGCGTCGTCAGTCAAAGAAGCTAGAACCGTCTCTAACAAGATCCCGCCTGTCTACGAGGAAGACATATCCCCTTCCACCAGTAACTGTTTGAGATCTTCCGTCGACACTTTCGACTCAAGTTTGGCTTCGGACGATGAAGATGAGCTTGAGCTTCAACGGGAAGCCGAACTAGACAACTTCGACAAGCACCGCGATATCCCGCCTTTGCCCACCTACTACCGCGATATCATCGACACCGATGTCCGGCCATCCACACCCCAGGACTTTGGCAAACTGTTCCCGTCCATGAACAGGTTATCTATTTGCCACGACGAATTTACCCCGGACGGCAATATGAATCTCAGAGTAGACACCGTCGCCCCCGGTCGCCGCCCCTTCAACATCCAGCTCTTCCACCTGCGCATGTACGACCTCAGCAAGCGTGAGTTCTCGCTTCGACGTTACTGCCGCGACTCTGGCCGCGAAGTCTGCAACTCCAAGCGCAAGTACGTTGAGGAAAACAACCAAGAGCGACCAACCCTCCAGCGATCCGTCTCAAGCGCCATCAAGACCCTCTCCATGAGAAGACCTCCTCTATCGCGCACCAACTCGGGCGGCTCAATCTTCGGAGGCAAGGGCAAGGACGGAGCTTCGCAACGCCCACAGTCCAGCTCCTCGTCTATGCGCACTTTTGGCGACGAGGCGGCAAGTTTCAAGCGTTCAGCCTCGTTTGAAACGAAATCCAAAGCTCAACCGGTTCCCAGCAACACCATGAAGCTCGAGTTCTCCAACTATGCGCGCGTCGACGTGTCACGCCGCGGCGGTGCCAACAACAAGCGCTACGAGTTTGACTGGTGGGGCCACAAATACCAGTGGAAGCGTGTCACTGACAAGAACCTCGGTGTTGTCTCTTTCCACCTCGTAAAAGACGGCAACAACGACGCCCGCGATGCCGTTGCGCACATTGTCCCCGAGACACGATCGCCAAACCAGGTCATTGAGGATGAAAGTGCCGGTGGCTGGGTGCCCCCATGCCACATGTGGATCAGTGACCGCAGCGTTCTCGATGCCGTCACCGACGTCGCCGATGTGATCATCGCCACTGGCCTCATGGCCCTTGTTGACGACTGCATCAAGACCCGCTGGCAAACGAAGAAGTTTACTCGCATTCCAGTACCCATGACCTCCCGGTCTGTCGACGTCGAGCATGTAGGCCCAAAGGCCTTTATGCAGCACCTTTTCCAGCGCCGCCCTTCTGATCAAGCTTCAAGTCCGTTGCGACAACGTCCGATTTCGACTTATTGAGATGAAAGCAGGAGGCGTCATTTTCTGATCAACTCTTTTTTCATTATTGGAAACCAAAAAACCACCACTTTATTACGGAATTTCCATTCATCTCTTGCGGGGGAGAAAAAAGAACCAAAAACAAGCACATTTTCGGATGGAAGCTCCAAATCGACTTGAGATCGAATTACACAGACTCCAAGAAGGGAGCAAAACACGAGCAGCGGATTATGCGCAGCACATACAGAACAGAATAGCACACAACACACAGATGACAGCAATGTGGATATGATGGGCAGGATACGGTACCATGGGGACAATTCCTCCCGCTCACAGCATGGACTGGAATTGCGTTTTGGACTCCCCCTTTTTTGTTTCTTTTTTTCTTTTTTCCCTTTGGAGTGTGTGCATTTATCTCTCTGTATGTATTTCCTTACTTTTTTTCCTTCCATGGATGATGCATCAAACAGGCGCTGGATTGGAAACCCCCCAAGAGCTGGGATGGAGTGGATGAATTGGATGAATTGCGAAAGCAAGCAAGCAAGCCCTGTACGAATTGAAACGACTACCTTCGAAACCTCATCCTTTCTGGATTAGGTATTTCGAAAATATGAATGAAGGCACAAAGATGCATCATTGCCCCGATTTTGATCTGCTCAAACTACCTCATCGTGCATGGCTGAAGACCAACAATGACCATGGACTATTTTCAACGCCCAGTGCTAATGCTCGATGCTAAGGAAACATGGGAGAAGGAAGAAACCACCCTCACGCAAGCCTGATTACACGATGGACAAGAACCCTGAAGCTTTTTCGTCGTGAGTGAACGAGTGGTACCTATCGTCAATGTCACACCACACAACTCCACTCCCCATCGTGAGATTTCGGTACGACGCCAAGTCCCAGCTGGGGGGAAGTGACCCGAGAAAACCCCCCCACGCAAACTACCTCACGACACCGGACCTGGCGACACCAGCTCCGCTCTGGCGTGGCCCATGACGTTCCCCCCGGTCCGTCCCGCCGGTAACCAAAAAGTGCTGGCTGGGCCCCGTTCGGCCGGCCGACTGACTGAAATCACCCCACCTCACCCCACAACCGCTGCACGAAACACGGTTCTTTTTGTCAAGGTGAGAAGGGGAAAGAGAAGAGAGAATGGGAAAAAGAAAGGCGTATTGTGGAAAAGCTCGCTCTTCCTCGCTTGACGAGCCGAAGAGGAGTGACATCTCACCACCACCATCGTAGTTTTGCAAATGTCCCCCCCCCCCTTCTCCCCCCGCAGTGCGATGAATGGGTGTTTTGTGTTCCCCGTTTTTCTAGGGCGATTTGCAAGATTCGGATTTATGACGGTATGTCCCTTTCCATCGTCGTGCTACTCCTCCCATGCTTTGACACCCTCGTTTGGTGATCCTCATCGGATTAGGGGTATCTCGAGGAGCCTGAAAGGTTCCACGAAACCTGCTGCCCTTTGCTAGGGTGGCACTAGGCTCCATTCATCCCATACGTGCATGTGTGTGTGTGTGTGTGTGTGTAGGTGCGCATGTTGTTGCAAATGCTCGCTCTTTCTGCCAATATCCATCCGCCGCGTTCAGTACTCACTAAACACGAACCCAAAATCATCCTTCCTCTCACCAAACCACCCCGCCAAATCAAGCTTCATCAACAACCTCTCCACGCCACCGACCCTTCGCGGGACATACTCCCCTTCCTCCCTCAGGACCCCTTCCTCGCCGCCCTCCTCCTCGTCCGCAAATGCCGCCGGGTCCGCCTCCAGGCTCCGCAACGCGGCAATCACGTCCCGGATGCCGTCCTTGACATGCTTCTCCACATCGCGGATGGCGGCACGGACCTCCTTCTCCTCAATCTCGAGGTCCACGAAGGCGTCGACGACGCCCGCGTCCGCTTCGAGGTCCATCGAGGTCCAGACGGCGTGGAGACGCTGCGTCAGGGCGACGAGGTGGTCCGTGTGCGTGAGGAGGTTGTACAGCGGGTCCGTGTAGGTGGGAAAGGTGAGGAGAAGGCGGGTGGAGAGGGCGCGGAGGTAGGCTCTGTGGGCCGTGGCGAGACTCTGGGGGTCGTGAGTCGTGGTGGGTTCTGTTGGTTTTGGTGACTTGGTTGTTGGTGTGCTCTGTGCTAGCCAGATATCGTCGTCGTCTTCGTCTTCTGCCTCGACTTCTGCTGTAGGTTTCGATGCCGCCTTGGTTAACGAACCAGGAGGCCCCATCTCAATGCCGTCCGTCTCTTTCTTGGGAGCCAGCCAGTCGTGAAAGCCGTCCCATAGCCCAGCCACTACTTCTGTTTGCAAGTATGCCTCCGTCTCGGAGAGAAAGAATAACGCAGAGCTGCATGTCACCCAGGCGCTGCGCAAGGCATTGGACCGCTGCGTATAGCGCTGACGCAGTAGTATCACCTTAGAGCGCCCTGCTCGGGTGCTTCCGGCGGGTGGTCCCGGGGGTGCCGGATGATGGCGGCGTAAGGATGTGATCTTCCACAGCTCAGTGAGACGAATATGCGCTCGGCGGATAGAGAGGAGGTATGAGTTGATGGTGGAATAGATCTGCAAGTCGGAAGGGGTAAGGAACATGTCCATGGGCGAGGGAATCTGCATAGTCAAGACGACGGGGACTGATAAAAGGAGGTTGCGGAAAGGGGTCGTGGCCAGGGTCTTCGTCGTGGGCCGTGACACGCTTGCTTCGAGCTTGAGAGGCACTGCCGGCTTGGACTTTGTGAGAGTCAACCGCAGAAGCTCCCGCGCTATCTCCAACCCCTCGTCTTCGTCAGCGTGTTGCCCCTGCATCAAGCCCATGGCCGCCCAGGTCTTGGCCAGCACGGCGGCGACCTCGCCCTCTTTGACAGCAAAGGTGCCAAGACCTTCTCGCTTCTCGTACGCGAGATTGTCGGATCTCTTCCATCGGCTCCGCAGCTTCTCATCAGCCTGCTGCGTCAGAGCCATGGCGAATTCGCCCCGGCCAAGGAGGAAGAACTCTCGCAAGACCTGGAGCGCCTCAACAACTTTGGTGAGAGGCAGGAGCTTGAGCAAGATCGTCCGTGAGAGTGTGAGGCGAATCGAGGTAATGGCGCGCGAGAAGCTCGCCGTGTGGAGAGGGTAGGTTAAAGCGGATAGCTCTTTTAGTTGTGAAGACAGGTGATCGAGGCCTTGTAGGCCAGATTCGACGCTGCCCTTGACACGGACGTGGTTGAGGGACCTGCCGATGAAGAGCATTGACGATGCCGTTGGTAGGGTTACAAAGTTGGGTAGAAAAGCCGGCACCGAGATGTATTCCTGTCGCGGTCAGTCACGAACCTCACATTGATCCATTGCCGATGACATACCTGGTCACCTCCCTCCGACTTCTGCACGAAAAAGTCCTCCCCTCCAAAGGTCGGCAATCGTCCGTAGAGGATCCAAGCAGAAACTTGCTTCAGCCACGCCGTCTCTGCCACGGACACGAGGCTCATAGCCGTCCTTTCGATGTCGACATAACCGCTCTGCAGCTCACTCCTCAGCCTGTCAATCAGCTGTGCGCCGCGACACGTTTGCCCTTGCTGCTTCTTCAGCATGAACTGTACAATCTCCCACAACCATTCCATCCGTCTCGTCCACTCGGAAAACTCCCCCACAACGGCCGTCAATGGCACAATGTTGTAGGCACCGACAAGACTCGAGTCCTTGCGCAGTATCGTCTCCTCGACATCGAGGACCTTGCGCTGGAAAGCGGCTAGGTGGACGGACTGTATCGCGGTGGCCGTGGCGCGGCATATCGTAGATGGGTGCTCCGCGGCGATGGGGGCGGTGTAGCTCTGCAGTTTGACGTGGAGGTTGCTCAGGTGGGCGGCGGTGACTAGGAGTTCGCGCTCCGGTGGTGAGATTGCCGTTGATAGCGCATTGGGATCTGAGTTGTCGGTTCGGAGGAGAGGGGAGGGGTGCCCAGAGAGGGCGAGGAGGATTTCGTGGAGCATGCCGGCTGTTTGCTTCTAGCGAGGGAAGAGAATCGAGGTGTTAGTCGAGGGCCAGGTACAGACAGGGGTTCGATCATGAGTTGAAAGCAAGAGACAAAGGAGAGGAGGATGTGGCACATTTCACGTGGTTGCGGCGGCTTCTTGGACTTTGACTTTTCGCCAAAGTCACGGAGAAGTAAGATGAAAGCGCCTAGTAGCTCGAAGCGACACATTTACTCGTTTCTCGGTGAATGGAGGTTGGCAACACGGCGGAGAGGAAAATCGCCGGGTGGGTGTCGTCCAGGATCTGGCGGGATGGCGGGGCAGGTCGGCGGGAGGAAGCAAAAGACGGGGAGAGTTGGGCTGCGTTGCAACAACAGGTGATGTATGGTTGGCAAATGGATAAATTACCTGATCTGTTTGAGCTGCATAGAACTAAGGTATCGTAGCACGAACCCAAAAGGAAATCCAATATCTCTCACTTTCTCAGACGGGAACAGGAGAGCGCGAGCCACAACAAAACAGCACCGACGTCAAGGAGGCTCCATGCTGAAGGACTGATCCCTTCCAATATCACAGTAGTCGCATTGATGGAAGTGGGCGTCGGGAGGAAAGCGCGATTTGACGCGACCGGACGGGCTAAAGTGGCTACACTGAGACAGTGAGACCCGGCAAGGCGTTTGCGGGTCCACGTGACCAGATGTTTATGGTTATGTAATCGCCGATGGCTTCCGGCACACCGGCACCTGGCGGCATTGAATGTGTACTCCGTCTTACCCGTCCAAGGCTTATCCCGAACGAACACTCTTCAGCCAGGGTGGGAATTCTCTAATTTGCAAACGCGGCCAGTACACTCTAATAATGGCTTGTAGTTTCTTTGATTGGGCTACCTAGGTTTCGTTTACTCGTATTGAATACGCACTGGTTGGACAAAACTGCACTGTGGCCCACCATCCATCCCTTCGTTCCAAGTCTTTCAACACTGCACCCAGTACCTCTTAAATGTCCTCGAGTCCCATCTATTTCATTCAGAACAATTATCTTCCAATGCACACTCACGGCCTTTTGCCAGCTGGCTGCTTGCCATTGCCCTCATACGCCGTGTACATACTGGCCGTATCACTCTGGTCGTCTTTGCGAGTTTTCTGGTCCTCCAGGTAACCCACTGCTCCGCCATCGCCGCCTCCGACGATGATCTGTCCACCACCCTTTACCTTACCGACGACCATACCCTTTGCTACGCTCTTCAGGATTGCTCTGCGGGATACACCAGTCACATCGATGTACACCAAGCCAACGTTCTTGAAGCCGCCGCCAATGTTCCTGGATACTTGGCCAGCTTCGGAGCCCCAACGGTGCTCCACCATCTGTGACACACTAGACGAGGTGCCAGTCAGCAGATTACGTCCTGCTTGATCGATGCCGTCCGCAACAGTGTTGAACGCCATCAAGCTTCTGTTCAGCAGGCCAGGCTTGTAACCCTCAATGGGGTTGCCATCCTTATCGTATCCTCTTCCACTGCCATCCTTCTTTCTAGCCAGGGTGGCGCCCAGATTTTGGGCCACTTTGCCCACCGCACCAACCGTGGTCGCCGACAGACCAGCCGCCTTGGTGGAAAACTGGTTGATGCGTCGTACACGGTCGTGCGCGGCAGGAGTAAATGTCACGGGTTCGGTCGTCGCCTTGGTCTTCTTTGTGAAATTGTCGGCCGAGGACTGCAAACCCTTTGTGATCAGATCCGACGATGTCACAATGAGTCGGGACGCTTTTGAAGCGTTCGACACCAAGAACGACTTCTTGTACGATGGGTGCATGATCATCTCGCGATATTCCTGCGACACGGGCTGAACGGTAATGGCTTGGCTGTTGTCGGCAGGGAGTGTAATCTCCACCGGATCTAGCATGCCATGTGAGTCAAGCTCGGCCGAGGTGCCGCCAAACTTACCTTTTGTTCCAGGCTTGACGCCCAGCTCCTCTACAACTTGGTAGTTCTCAGTCAGCTCCCCAATGACACTTCCGTCTTCTTCGTCAATCAGGACAATCCGGCCGCCATTGTGCTGGGAGCTGTGGGCTCCCGGAGCATAGCCCTGTCCGGGCTGGTAGTCGGCCGGGTTGTAGGCGGGGAGGCCGTCGGTGGCGGCAGCTCTGGACTTGGCAGAGGGACGATCGGTAACGGGGTCATCATAGGGGTATGCGGAGGCCGCGGCGGCAGCTTTGGCCGATTTGGATGAGGTCTTTGGCGGCGGGGCTCGCTCGAGGAAAGCGGTGCATTGCGCAAGGATCGTTTCGAAGGTGTCGACATCCTCCTGCAGTCCTTTCCGGCTACCAGTGTCGGGGAACTCGATACGAGTGAAAGCACCACTGTCTGGTCCCAGATCCCATCTTGGAATGAGGTAGCTTGTCGGCGGCTGGTGGTAGATCTGTGTCGTCGCGGGAAGAGGAAGGTCGAGCTCGGGAGGTAGATGAAGGTGCAAGTAGAAATCTTCGGCGGGGGAGTCTGCGTCGGTGAACGGTGAAGACGTCGGTACCATCAACAGCGACAAGGTCTGGGGCCCAGCGGGTGTGAGGGACTCCTCCTTGCCATTGGAAATGTGGAAGGCTTGGACGCCGTTGATTGCGTACAGGAGCTTGGGGTCCTGGTTTCAAGGTCAGTGAGGGCGGTCGCAGTATTGTCTCCATCTTGGAGGACATACGTTGTGTCCCGAAGCCATGGTGAAGAGGGGTGCGCAAAAGAGGCGCAGAAAGTTGAGATCTTGGTTACGTCAGGTCGGGCCTCGTACAAGATGGTTGCTTTTGGATGGTGTTGTCTCGAGATGCGACTGGCGCGTAAATGTCGTGGAGAACTTTGGTGAGAGACCGCGGGGTCCAGAGAGTCTAAGGGGCTCGGTTTGCAAGTGGGAGAGAGCGTCTGCTAGGGAAGTTGTTGAAGCGAGTTGCGGTCCGGAGGATTAAAGGTCTGGTTGGTAGGTGGACGCCAGCGATCAGACAAAGTGACGACTGCGTAGGGGAACTGCAATAGCTATTCGCCAGCAGGAAACCTCTAAGCAGGAATCGCAAGGAACGGTAAAGGTGAGTGGCACTTCGGATGGTGCTCTGAGACTTTGTGACGACGAGCCGGGTTCTGTCTATTCAAGGACCGGGGGTGTAGTGAGGGCGAATATGGTTGGATTGCAGGTGTGTCGCAACAGCTTGCATGGCGCTTAAAGCAGCTGTTGGTGGTGGTGCGCCGTGCTTTAGCTTGGTGATGGCGCTGGTGCGTGCCCGAGAGGCCTCTGGGCGGCGAGCGACGTCATTGGCCACTGTTGACTTTCAAGGTGTTCCCAGTCCTTGCACCCAACGACACCTTGTTTGATGGGAGACTCGACGACAAGTGATGGACCCCTTTTCGCCCCCCATCCACTCTCTCTTCAGTGGATTCGTCACTTGAAGTTTGATTGTTCAGTAAGAGGGGTTGAAGTGTCGATTGCTTGCACAGCCACCTTGGATGCTGCAAAAGAGGCGGGCATGGCGGGGTTCCAGGTGCTTGGAGGAGGAGGTGCAAGACTTGGCAGAGGGAACCAGCGACTTGGGAAGCTCTGACCACCTTTTGATGCTCCTTCCAGCGGCTGTCACACGCACTGACACACCCCCATGTGCTTTCTGGCGCGCCCCACCCGCTCATGGTTGATTGTACTGCAATGACGAATAGTCAAAGAGAAGCAACCCATGGTGAAGGAGACAGTGGCGGCATCAACACCTTCGACACAGCTCCAGCAGTATGCGTCACCTGATTGGCCAAGACTTCCAGAGCCTCAAATTCTTGTCAGCTGTGTTGAACAGAGAGACTCAGGAACTTGACCTACCCGTAGAGCATGTGACCCGAACCACCACCACCAGCTACGGAGAACAGCTTCACCCAACATGAACTGAGCCATACTGGAAAACAGACATAATCTGAGAGGGCCAGAACCTGCAGAAGACGTTAGCTGCGTATTCAGGTAACCAAGAGCAAAGGTAAGGAAGCCATACCACTGTCTTGGTGTGCCAGCTTGCAGATAGCCATCCTCAGACTTAGACTTCAAGAGCACGGATGAAGAGACGACTTCTCGTCCCGAAGTCCAGTCTGGCCCGGGGTATTCGACGATGATCCTGATGTTGGCAGGCTTTCTGAAGACAGTCCGGGAGGGACCGACACCACGACAGCCAGTAAGGATAGTCATCCTGCAGCGTCCCATAGATGACAAATCTTCGTGTTCAGACTCTTGACAAGGAAGTTGTTGAGACGAAGTGATCAGTCGGTCATCTGGTGGAAGACAGGCTCGTGGGTCAAAGTCATGACGGATAGCTTTGGCAATGACCTTGGACAAGCCGAATAGAGTACAATGACTTCGTCACGACACATGGGCCGATGACATGAGAAAAGCCAGTGTAGACGTCTTGGTAGAAGACATCATGTCGTGAGATGTTGTGACAGGAAGCGTCATGATAGGAGACGGCAATGACGAAAGATGTTGTGAGAGAAAACGTCGTGATGGAAGACCCATGATGGAAGATGCTGTTGTGCGAGATGCCGTGATGTGTGTGTTTCGATAAGAGACAGCCATGACGAAGAATGCTTCTTTGAGAGACGGCGTGATAGGGGATCCAGGCTGAGAGATGATAATGTACAAGATGCCGGGAAGACGCAGTGATGGGAAAATTCGTGATAGGGGATAACCATGGCAGGCGATGTCTTGACCAAAGACGTCGTCCTAGAAGATCCTGTGATGGAAGGACATACGGTAAGAGATCCATGATGGAAGAGGCTGTCATATAAGATGCCAATGCGGAGGATGTCGTGAAGCAAGATGTCGTGAAGCAAGATGCCGTGATGTAAGATGTCGTAAGAAAACATGTCGTCAAGGAAGCTCCCGAGAGAGCACATAATTTGTAAGGTCCCCCGCCGGAGCCCAAGGACCGGGGCGTCGGAGATTGTCGGGTGAAGGTACCGTCGGGTAAGACACCTTCTGTGAACCACGAAGGGTTCATCAGGGCAACGTCCACCTGCACCGCCCTGAGCGGCACAAGGCTTCGGAAAGCCCGTCATTTCTCGTAGAATTGTCAAGATAATCCCCTTGAAGACCTCCTTCAGGGCGTCCTCAATGCCCTTCTTGAAGGCCTCCAGAAGCGCGACCATGGCCAGACTTGCCCATTCGTTGACTTGGGGGCGGAGTCTTGTCCAGCCACGTCGGAGAGATTTTCGAAGTATGATGAGAAAACAGAAGGCGACCGCGACCGGTACCGCGAGGATGACGTAAAGGGGGTCCATGTTGTAAGTATAGGTGTAAGTGTGTATCGCTATGCGGCTCGCTTGTTGTATTCGGTAGTGAATGATAGACGACCTCCCTGGAGAAGAAAAGAAGAAAAAGAGAAGAGGAGAGAGGGGGGGAGAGGATGGGTAAATATACTGGTCAAGGGCTTCGTGGAACAGAATCAGACCTTCCGACTTTGAGACCCAGGGATGCCGCTCCCTACTTCCAATATTCTGAACTGATACAGTCTGGCTGGTACTGCTGCTGGGTCCTGCTGTTTTGACGCGGACATTGCAGGTATCTAGCCGTTAGAGGCAGTGACTGACCATGTCATCCCTTCCGCGACTTCTTCTCAACATGCCTGATGGAGCAAACATTCGGCAAGGACTCATCGAAAGGTATGTATTTTTGCTGAATATCTGCATATTCATTCCGGATGCATATAACTAAAGCATGGTAGTTGCCTAAACCTCTGGCTATGATCATCTGGAGACGACTGCTACTTCCACGGTCCACAGACGTCTGCGACAACTGCGATTTGCGTCATGTTGACACCTCTTTCCCAGCTCCTCGTGTCCGACACGGTTCAGCTGGCATTCGTGCCGAGCCTCACCATCGTGAACGAAAGGTATACAGTACCTTCCCTCTCGTCGACCCCGCCAACAGCATCCCTATCTTCATCTGGGCAGTGACGTCTCGGCAATGGCTATTATATCGACGGATATCACTGATAGGTCATGCACGCGATCCCAATTTATGGAAGCAGGGACTTTATCACACAAACTAGAAGAAGCTTCTCATTCATCATAACGTTATTTGATCTTCTTATTACTTTGATCCGCATGAAATCTTCGTAACTCTTTGGTCTTCCCCAGAAGTTGTGAGTGCAGAACAGCCGCAAGTCACAAGCGAATGGAGTACTTCGTTTTCTTGTTCAACCCCTTTCCCTGTAGTGTTGGTGATATCGCCCCTTTATCAGTCCCTTCCATCCCTCGCATGATGTCCCTCCATCAGCGGGCTTTCGTTGCCCTTATTGTTTTACCATTTGTACTCTTCTTCCTCTTCCAATCGCGAGCGAGCTAACACGGCGAACGCCTGTATGATACATTCCAGCAGGATCAGCCAAACTATTGATTGCACTGGATTATCGTAGTAAGACTGCCCGCTGAAGAACGTGGGAACGAGCGACAAAGCCCATATGATGCAATGCTCCAAGGCGGTTTCCGAGTCTTCAATGCCTCTTTCTCTTAGAGCGAATCTCGTAGAGGCTAGAGCGCGAAAATCATGTATGGCATAGTGTAGAAAGAATCCAAAGATTTTCCACCCATCATACTGCCCAAGGATACCCCCACAACACCCCTTGCCGTATCTGCGCAGGACCAGCCTATAGTTAGGCTCTTGACCAGGCGTTGTGCCGTTCAGAAGATCCAAGCCGTGGATGGTTCCGTTGTTGCCAGCCTGTTGCGTGCCAAAATCTTCAATACTGCCGACGTCGTAGGCCTGGATGTATTTGGACCAGACGAATCCGTAGGGGTCTTGGCCGAGTGTGCGCCACGGCTGCTCCTCGGCGTCGAATCGAAGCACGAGGAGCACGAGGGAATAGTCCATGATGCCGAGGAGAACCATTCCGTATAGCTCGCAAATGATACGCATGCATTGGTTGATGAAGTAGTAGTCTGATAGTTTGCCGTCGTATGCATCGATGGCACTCTCTATCGCGTCGAAAACATTGTATATGTACATTTTGTAGGCGATATAACTGTATTTTGCGAACTGAAGAGTGAGGGGGCGATGTGTTCTAGGATTGGTATGTGTTTTGAAGATAGGGTGATTGAGAGAAAGGGCGACGAGGACAAGATGAACGAGTAGAAGTTGGGTGATGAGACGGTGGGTTGGATGTTTAATAGCTGTCAGAGCAGGAGAAAGACCATAACTGTTCACTAGGGTAAACTTATAAGAACAGCTTGACTCGACACATTCTGGCTGGTTGACATCTTGTTATAGGTATCAAAAACATTATCTCCGAAAAGGTTTGAGTACCTGTTTGGCCGGATTTCATCGTTGTCATCGAACCTTGGTAATTACACTTTCTTGTCATCAACGGTCACATAATCACCCCTGAGGGGCCCATCTATTGAGACAACCATCGCGGTGAGGATGTTCAAACCATCGGTCACGAAGTATCGGAGCAATCTTTCCTATTCCACAAGATATGGCACGGCATAGAAATGTGCGTCCCGGTGCCTAGGCGTGGGGGCTGAAGACGGCAATTCTTACGAACCGAAACGCGGCTGCTAGACGAACATCTTGTTTGTAGCGGTTCAGTTTGGTGTAGAGAATAAGGCGGTTTTACTCCTGTTGGACAATCTACTTCGCTATACACGGGGTATCTTGCCAGCATCGAGCTGGGATCCATCTATGAAATTTTTCGTGTGTATGGAAAGCACGGAGAGCACTCGCCCTCACTCTGATGTTTGTCGTTAATGCTCGTACTGTTTACGAATAGCTCCTAGATAGCGATGTGTTGGGTTTCACGGCACTTGAGAGCTAGATCGTTTAGAGTTTCCAGTGAAGCCACCCACCGGGAGAAAAGAGCCATGAGGTCGAAGCCGCAAAGGAAAGCAGAAGGCCTAAAGGTTAAAGGCTTTGCTGGAGTTCCTGGAGCTTCAAACGATGAGTCACTAGCGCAAGATCATTGGTCGCTCGGTAGGGCGTCCTCTTGGTGAAGGTGCCGGACCGAGACCCTGGTCCCCCGTGAAATCTGGGCCGGTTCTAGCGGGAGACGTGGACCACCAATTCATCCCGGACAGGCCATGGATTATGCCATTGGATTTCGATGTTGTTGATATCTGTGCAGTTAAACAAATAGATGCTACGCGTATGCTATTTCATGAAGATACAACATGGCGCACAGAAATTTTGGCACTTTGAACGAGAGTGAAGAGGCAGCATGGACACGGACATAGCCAATGTGCCCTCGTTCTCTCGCACCGTTCCCAAAACTTCAACGGGGATGCTTTACCAGACTCATCGAGATCAATTGGAGACAAAACACACAATTCACAGAGCTTCGAGGAGCGTACCATACCTGAATCACGGAGCGACGTCAGAACTCACCCAAAAAGCTCGGTGACACTGACACCCGCTTCTACTCCCACATCCCGAAGAGCAAGATGCAACCTCCCCAGCAAATCAGGACCCGTCACTTCCCAAGCATTACCCATCTCCCGTCAGTGCTCAAAACATTTCGCAGCAGCATTGGGCCAAACAGGGTCCTGCATTTGCTCTTTCTTTCCCACGAAGCTGAAGAGGGAATGTCGTTTACGCGGCAAGTGGTGGTGATGGAAAGTGGAAACGATCAACCGACCCGTCCGGGTACTCGAAACCCTCGGGAGCCCCCAGCTCTTTCCCAGTACCAAGAGCTTAGTCCCAATTCTTGTACCTTAAGGGTCCAAGCAGGAAGGAGGTTGAGGAAAATAAATAAATGCTTCGAGGACCCCCTTCCTTCTGCGTTTCTGTTTTCAAATGTCTTTGGCAACTTTGACCCGTGGTCTTGGACCAAATTTCCAACCCATATCGATTATTGGGCAAGTCGTATAGACGAGTTATCCTGCCAATTCCAACATCGGACGCAGAACTTGCACAACAAGTCCTGAAAATGGCCTAGCGGCATTTTTATGCTCCCCAGCTTGCATACAGCTCGCATTACCCCCTCCATTGAGCAGCACCCTCACAATCAGCGGCACGCGACCCTCTCAGCAGCTCCTCTAGGCTCCAGCGACCTGGAAAGGCACAGCTCGCACCGGTCATCGGCACAAGCGTTCCCCGGCCGAGCGAGAAATGGTCGGAATTACAGTGTCTCCCTCGGCCGGCACTGCAGCGGCAGCGGCAGCGGACGTGCTCGCCAAGGTTTGGAAGAGGGAATGAGATGACAGCTTATCCAGGGAGGAGAGGGGGGTTTTCTGCACTATTCGGAAATTGGAGTAAACGAGATAGAGGGAGATCTCAACAAGTGTTAGGATCACCGCCACAGCTTTCTTCGCCTCTCTCGACAATTCCTCGTAGTGCAATCGAGAGCTTCCACTCGTTTTTTCTTCCACACCCATCCCCGCCTCGGCAATCGTTCAACCTCGGAGAAATTGAACATAACACACATCGAAGAACGGAGAGATAAGCTCAAAGTCAAATTCCGAACTTGACAAGCAACTGTAGCGACAATGGCTCGTTCATGGAAGCCAGCCTTCTGGGCTCTCTTCCTGCTCGTGCAGCTCGGCCTCGCCTCCACCGTCGCCGAGAAGATTGGTCTCACGAGCAACCCCGTGGCATCACTCAGCCTCGAGGAGATTGACGAGCAGCTGCAGGTAAGTGCGATGAGAAGAAGATGAAGACGAAGCCAACCCGATTGGAACGCACGGGAGAGCTCAGAGCACCGAAAACCATCAGCCTAGAGCTTCACAACTGACGATACCATCCCAGCAATGCTCAATAGTCCAATCCCTAACCGCCTCCAAACTCGCCTCCCTCTCCGAAACCCCATCTCTCCTCTCCCGCGCCTTCGGAACCCTCTTCCCCGGCTCCCCCGCCGTAAACGCCCTCCTCGCAACCCTCTACATCTCCGGACCCCCCAACTTCCTCCTCGCCCTCTGCCCGACAGACATTGACCCCTCCTCCCTCTCCGTCATGGTCGCCTTCGCCGTCGGCGGCCTCATGGGCGACACCTTATTCCACCTCCTCCCCGAGATATTCCTCGGCGAGGACGAGCCCGAGCGCGCGCGTCTCGTGCTCGTCGAACCGAACCGCAACCTGCTGCTCGGCGTCGCGATCCTCGTCGGCTTCATGACGTTCGTGGCCATGGACAAGGGCTTGCGGATCGCTACGGGCGGGGAGGGCCATTCGCACGATCACGGTGGACACGGGCACTCGCATGCGCAGGAGCATGGTGAGGCGAAAGCCGAGGGCGTGTCGTCTGCCGTGGAGAAGGCGGGCGAGGTCACCTCGCGCAAGAAGAAGGCTGGGACCGACTCCGGATCTGGAGCCGACGGCGCCATGGACAAGGCGGAGAAGGAGATGAACCCCAGCGTGAGACTCGGAGGCTACCTGAACCTGATGTACGGCATTCCCTAACCTACTACTCGGCCTTCGGGTGCGACTCTGCTAATAATTAATTATGTACTGACTTATATTCCACAGCGCCGACTTCACGCACAACATCACAGACGGCCTCGCCATGTCCGCTAGCTTCTACGCTTCCCCGACCATCGGCGCAACCACCACGGTGGCCGTCTTCTTCCACGAGATCCCCCACGAGGTCGGCGACTTTGCCCTCCTCGTGCAATCCGGCTTCAGCAAGCGCGCCGCCATGGGCGCACAGTTCGTCACGGCCCTCGGCGCCCTCCTCGGCACCCTCATCGGTATCGCCGTCCAGGAGCTCGGCGGCAGCGGCTCCGGCTCCGGCGAGGGCGGCATGCCGCGTAACGCGGGGCTCTGGGGTACCAGCTTGGTGAGTAAAACCTGCTCTTCTCTCTCGTGCAGCTAATGTCAGTTTGGCGTGACGAATTACAAAGTGCTGACGATGATCTGATAGACCTGGGGCGATTTGCTTCTGCCCTTCACCGCGGGCACGTTCCTCTACGTGGGCACCGTCGCCGTTATCCCCGAGCTGCTCGAGACGGGCCCGAACAAGATGGCCGAGCTTCGCAAGACCCTCGTTCAGTTTGCCGCCATCGCTGTCGGTGCCGGTATCATGCTGTACATCTCGTGGCATGACTAGATGATGCACCCTTTAAATCGTGCTTGAGATTTGCCCCGTGCACACGTGAACATGCTCATGTTAGATGAGCCCTGGTTGCTGGAAAAAGCCAAAAAAGCCATGTAGACTATATAAAGACAATAGACAGAGCAAGATGCTCTGCCACTGTTAGATGAGTGGGATTTCTCGAGCCAGAAGTGATGTGAAACCAGCCGTCGCCATGACTGGGTTAAGCTTACCTCTAGAGATAATTCAAGCGGTAATCTGGGTATAAGGTAAAGTAAGCTGGACAAAGGGGGGATGACCAACTCCAACCAAAAACGGCGCATTCATGGACAGAGACTGTCCCAAACGCCATTTCCAACAACTCGGTTGACGGATCGTCTAGTCCTGACCGCCACCTGACCGTCTTTGGTAGAAGTGCGGGCGCAAGAGAAAGCATGTGGCGTCGTCGCAAAGCTGGGGTAAAGAGAAAGTAGATAATGTAGAGGAACATGTCGTCTTCGACTACATACCTACTGAAGCAGAAGGGGAAGCTGAATAATACACATACACACAGTTCCCCACGAAGGAATAAGCTTGCTTAAACCGGGGTAAGAACTACCAGTGTTTGCAGTCTAAGCTTACCTGACCACTTTGCCATCTCCCTTTCACAGGTAGAAAGTGGTCAGTGGAGGCGTGCATGATGCAATTCCTGGGCGGTCTGAAAGTTTGCGACTGTAGAGAGCACGTAATGAGCTTGGTGAGCAAATGCCACGAAGGTTGACGCAATACAGTCCCAGTGATGGTGTCTTGGGTCACCTCAGCCCCGAGGATTATAATTTCCGGTATAGCAAAGACGGGAATTATTCATCATGGAGCTTGGTCAGCTCTCATCGTCTGGATTGGTTGCCAATAAACCGGGAGATGCCCAAGTGATATGTGTGTTTGTCTACGGCCTGTCCACCAGCCTACTAGTGCAATAGCGACTTTGACATGAGGCGCTGTACAGGGC